AGCTGATCTTCACCGTTTTTAGCGAGCTCGGCAAGGACTTGAGTGGCGCGTTTAGCAGCAGCGCGATCGGATTCTTGCCAAGAGAAGGCAGAGTTTAGAACGGAAACTTGAGCAGCAACCTCGCAGAGAAGCGCCTGGGCACCGTCGGTGGTTGCGGCAGAGATCTCCCGATCTTCAGCGGCGACAGCTCCTTCCTCAAGCTTTCGCTTCTGTCCTTTACGCTCGGGGAAGCTCCGGCCTTCTCGCCTCTCCGGTTGTTGGTCCATCGTTCACAAAGTAAAAGATGATCCGAAGAAGAGGAGATCAGAGACGGAGAAGAAGCAGCAGCAGCGTTTTGAAATCAATCCAAAGCACAAAAGAGATCAGGGTTATTTTCGTCGTTTCAGTTCATCTCGAAAAAAAAAACCCCTTTATTTTCTTTATTTCTCGGATTTAAATTGTATGTAACTATGCCAAAAATAATAAATTCAAATTCGAAGTTTAGAAATAGCTTATGGTCAGTTTTCAGTACAAAAACACAATTAATAATTTACAAGTCGACAAAAAAAAAAATAGTAATTTACAAAATTATATTTAGAAAAATAATTTTTTTTTTATATATATAGATTGTGTCAATCGAAGTCATAATTCGGACGTTTGTATAAATTTTATGTAACATGTGTTTAGTGATTTTGAAATCCCTAAATTGTTTTACTTTTGATCAAGCCACATAATGTTAATTTGATTCTAAATATATAATTAAAATAAACTGAATAACTAAAAGGTTCTGAGTGTAAATCCATATATTCCTTTAGTTCTAAAACAATTATACATGGTCTAAGAACCAATTAGTAGATAACATTTTTGCTAAGTTGAGTGTGTTTACAACAAAGAAAATGAAAAGATATATCCATAGGTTGTGTGCTGTTTCATCAACCAAAAGCCCCACAAACTCAAAATTTCAATTCTTTTATAGTTTAGTTTGGGTCATTTTATTTCTTTTATATTAAGATTTATATGAAAGTAAGTATGCTAATTAAGTAGGCTTTTGGACTTTTTGGTGGTCTGCCACAAAGGAGACGTGTTTGATAGTGTGAGAAGAAAGAAGCATTTCTTTAATTTGTGAAAGAAGGAAAAAAAAAAAAAAA